GGTGTCGGTTTAAGGGGGGCTTGAGAGAGCTTTTTAAGAGATAATAAACACTATAGATATAATTAATGAAATAATAGTGTAGATATAACTACATTAATTTTTGTCTAGATAGCTGATAATCATTATCTTTATCTTTTCATTCGTTTATTTTATGAAATAGTTTGTTTTTCTGCTATAAATAATTGTATCTTTTAATAATGGATATTATCTAACACCCGTTTTATTCTTTACTAAAAAAAATATATTAAATTTTAAAGCTTTATATTGATTAAATATTTCTAAATATATTAAAAAGTTACATAACTAAAAATTTTTATATATATATATATAGTCTTTTTTATAACGTCTGGGAGTTATGCTGTATTTTATTGTACAGGTACATTAAAACGATGACTATAGAATAAATTACTATTATAATTTAAATATATTCTATACTAAATTTTATTTATTTATTACTATTCGCTTATTTAATTTTCGTATAAGATAGGCGAGTTTAGCTGTACGAACCCCTAAACCATTGGCACAGTTTAGGGTCTCGCACTACGTACGAGTCTTACTTTAGTCCTAATTATGAGATAGACATTTCAATATTACTAAGATCCATTTATACACAATAAATAAGCTTCGTATCAATACTAAACATAATTTATTTATATAAAAATATGCATAAAATTTGCCAATTTTGCGTGAGAGAAATTTAATCCATAGATTTAATTAGATATTTAAATCGAAAAAACTTTTATAAAATGTCAAAGTGTCAATGTTAAAAAATAGGAAGAAAGAATAGAAAAATTTATTAAAAATTTATTAAAAATTAAAATTAAAAATAAAAATTTTAAAAATATATATATTAAAAAATTCTAAATTTTATTACATATTAATCTATAAACTTTTATAGTATAAAAATGTCAACAGAAACAATAAAAAGTAACAATAAAAGTTTTAATTCTGTTAAAAGAATAAACTTAGCGTAATAATAATGATAATAACGACGATATAAAATTGAATTTATTATATAATAATATTTGCTTTCATCTTACTAATAAAGTTAAGTGGAAAAAAACAAAGTTATTTTATATCATTTTAGTGCATAAATTTTTTTTATTATATTGATTAATTAAATATAACAATTTTTTTTTTTACTAAAACAATATTTTATGCAATACCGAATTATAAATAAAATTGCCCATCCAATTTTATTGTTTAAAATAATATATTTATACGTTAGGAAGATTCAAAAAATTACCCTTAAAATCCATTTGAAAGGC